ACAATGATATTCCTTCTTTGTCCCACGCACATGATGCGGACCCGAGTGGCGCACCAAAATGTCAGAAATTGATCCAATCGTGCCGTCGAGGCTTTTTGTGATTGTTCTGCATTTGCCATGCAGTTGCCGTATGGCTATTGCTTCGGTCGCCGATTCAGGGCCAATAGCAAAGTGTCAAAAGAACATCTCCACATGTACACACATCGTGCATGCAGGCACAGCAGCCAGTGTCTGAAACTCTGCAGCTAGCTAGGCCTTATGGCTCTTGGGCCGAGACTGATCACCCCCAAGCAGAGCCATCTTCGCCTGCTCCAGGTACCGGGCGGCAAGGGACTTGGGACCTGGTCGCTGACTATTTTTCCTTTACCAGAGAGTGATGAGTTCCTGGATTCCCGAAGTTGGCCGCGTGCTTCATCCAGGCAGACAGGCAGCGAAATGATATGAGTAAGAATCCACGAACGAGGGCCAGAACGGGAACGCGGCAAGAAAGAACGGCGAGGAAAGGAGAAGGAGAAATAGGTAGGAACCCCTGATCCAACAACTCCAACGCGAGGCGGATGACGGAAACAGCAGGCGAGCACGGCACAGTACAGGACCAGAACGAAAATACAAAAAGTGATGATGATGGTGTTGGTCTGCTTTGGTATTTGTGTCGTCCCTTTTTCTCTTAACTTTTCGGGGGCCGATACGACGACGGGTCGCCTTTTGGGAGCTGTGGGAGCACTAGGCAGGCAACAAAATGAGGGTTGGTGGTACATCGTGATGCGTCCTGCCGAAGAGGAATAATCCAGGTCGCTCGGAACAACGAGTGTTGTGGTGATTTGATTCCTTTGGCCTGGGTAGCCAGGCACTGAACCATGTCAAGCCGCCTTCGAGTATCTCGACGGTCAGAACTCAACGACGCCATATATGTGTATGCCGCCGAGCAAAAGACAATACGAGATAATCACGTCGAGCCTTTTGGCATGTGAAACTCGCAACCGGTAGCGTCTTCCCGGTTGATCTCGATTCGATAGAGCATGGCCTCAAGATTCCGCATGATATCAGTGCAAAATCTTCCGCACATACTTTGTAGCATGTATACATTGATATATACAAAGGGGCATGTAGCTACCACTATGGCAGTTGGAGGCGGGCTTGACAACTTCCTTGATAGCTGTGTACGAACGAGTATGTACCGGGGAAAAGGCGGACTGTGTGTCCGGCGCGCCGAACGGGGCATTTGTTCTGAAGAGTCTCTGTAGTAGTACTCGGTAGGCAGTCCGTCTGAGATATTGTGTCTCCAACCCATCGGTCGCCTCGGTGGCACCCAGTAGTCTTGTCTCCGGTCGATTGATTCAAGACTTTAGTCAGCCGTCATGGCCATTATGAGGGAGACACAAGCTCGAAGCCAAACTTTCTTATATGTCCCTATTCAGCAGGCCCCTTGTTGATATGTGGATTCAAGACCTGGGCTCACCATCCCTTCAGCACAGGCACAGACGACTTTGAGAGGGTTTAGACCTCCTGTAACTATAACTTAGGGTGCCTTCTTCAACCGGGGTATCACACATGTAGCTAGCCATATGGGGAACATCTCGTCTGTAGACCGGATCTAGGTACGGTCTGAGCACCAGGACAACGGGCGGGCTGGGGTGGTTTGCAGTTGGCGAACGTGGGGTGTTCGCTAAAATATCGTTTTGATTTGAGGATCGGTGTTCAAAATGGTCGTTCCTTCTGACAAGTTCCTGCTACCCGTTCCGGTCCCTGGTGCTGTGCAACGAGCAATGTTTTTGTCGTCTTGGTCCCAGGCGCCTCGACTTTCGAGTATGTCTGGTCGCTTTTCTTTTGGATCGTCTCTTTGATCATCTAAGTGGACGATCACGTACCCAGTACCTACTGTTCTGTGACCTACGCTTCCTTGCGCATCGGCCTTCTGAAGGGAGAGAGAGACCAACGCTTATAATGTCTCTCTAGCTCACAGTGCATTTAACATGTGTCATGATGATCAGGATACTGGACTCACTTTCTGCTGTCCCCGTCATAAAGACAAGGCTTTGCGTCAGGGCTTTTTTTTTTTCTTTCTTTCTTTTTTTTTTTCAAGGCCCACGACCTCGTCGAGGCTGTTTCCTGACCACTTCTTGTGGGACAAAGATTCAGCCCCAGTAACATTAACCCTGCCGCCCGCAAATGAGGACCTTGTGCAACATCCCCACCGGTCGCAGGTGATTTTGCACTGCGACTGGGGAATTCAACCCAGATGATGTTGCAAGCCTGAATCGTGGTGACCACAGAGCTAGCCGCTCACGAATAAACTTTGTTGCTTTTTCCTGTAGTAGAAACCCATATTTGTCAGTCGTAACGGATGGCATTTCGCAGACTGCTAGCCCTATATTGCCTGGAAGACGATGCTCCTCCCTCGAACTGGCGTGTCTAGAGGTCGTGCTCACTCGCTGTCCGCAAAACGCCGAGGGGCGCCGACTCTTCGTTGCCGGGGGTGGTTTTGTAGACCTTTGCAGCCGCTGCATCTTCCGCTGCTGGAACTGGTCTCCCATGCCGAAGGAAGCTCCTCGTAACCTTTCCCAGTCCAGTTTTGGGTCATGAGTTGAGATAACTAGGGTGCTGAGGTCAGCTCCATCGAACGGCGATACATAATGTGATGCATGGCGGCATTCTCTCTTTCACGTGTCATGGAAAAGGTTCCATATATCTTGGACCGGAACAAAGCAGCCTTAGGCAAGCTAGGCTGCCCAGCTGAGAGCAAGGTTAGGGAGGTGGTCACACAACTAGAAAAGCCAAAAAGTCCTGTATACTAGGTAGGACGGCTAAAATCGTTGGGCAAGGCATCCATGCGCAACACCCCAGCCTGCATGGGATCGAGATGGAAAGCATATGCAAAGCATGAACACTCACCCAGGTCGTTCATCATCGACCCATCGTACTCGTTCCCTTATCAGTTCACTTCATCGAGACCGGTTAGGATCTACGAGCCTCATGTTCGTAATTCCTCTCCAGCGGATTCCGAACGCTCGCTAATCCTTCAGTTAGCAGAAGCTAGTTATGCTCAACTTGGTAGGTACTCCAACACAGGCAGACTTATTGACAGTGTCCTAGGTCTTGTCCGTTCCGGATTGATGCATGGACTAGCAGGTTGACTTCTAGGCTGGAGTATGCAATAGTTATCGGAAAGCGAAGCAAAAGAATGGTCTTGGGGGCGTATCCCTGCTGTTAGATATCCTCTCTCCCTTGCTTATTCTCACAAATTCTGGTGGGAATCCAGACTGCAAGGTGTGGAGACCGCCATTCGAACCTGGCAAGCATCTCCCATGGTTCCGAGACGTGTTCCAATTATGGACAAACTCTGGGAAGAAGAGGAGGGCCTTTGAAACTCTCCGAAGTCTATTTCATATGTGTTGTCTGTTTCGCTCACTTTCGAGCTCAGAAAATGTGGCCTGTGCCAGAGTCATGCCTCTGCTGGCGGGCTGTCTTCGTTGTTTGTGCTGGATCGAGTCGATTGCCAAAGTCGGCCACGGTGAAGCTGAAACCAATGTTGGCTGACAGAAGCAACTATTGGATCTATGATCTCTTTATTGTCGCAGTGCCCAAGACGAGACTGCAGCCGGACATTTTGAGATGCACGTCAGATTGTCCTAAGCCTCCTGTAACGCTCTGCGCTGATGGATTCTCGCCCGCCCAACGCTGTCCACCACAAGTAGTTTAGTCACCCTCCCGATTTCTTTGGCTCAAGAGATCACCAAAGTGGAGGGGGTGGGCGAGTCCATTCCGGAGGCAATCGAGGGGCTAGAGCCGGCACTCGTTCATAAACTATCAGGTCTCTCGCCACAGCCAGAGGCAAACTGGCTGATCAACAATGAGTGGACAGCGGGCGTCGCAAACCGAGAAGATATCCCTCGACCTGCTCAAAGTATCGCTGTGGTTTACATAAGAAAGTTCTTGTGAGATGTCTCGAGATGCTTTGTTTCTGTTGGATGTAGAGAGCGCGGAAATTACTGGCCGCGGTTGAATTTGGCGGTAGCCTCCAGCCTGAATCAAGCACAATCTAGATCGTAGCTTTTCCATTCTGGACCCCGAAAAGGGGGGTTGTCATTGAAACGTTTTAAGCTGACCAGTGCTAGTCGGAAGATCTGAAGCGGCGCCCCGGTCCTCCTTCCAGTCCGCCAATTGAGTTTGATGATCAGAGCAGGCACAGCGCTTTGCGGATGGTTGAAGTGATATCGGCTCCCTGTCAGAACAGCAGCTATCTCCCCTGATACTTTCCAGGAGTCGCCAGACAGAGGCTGAGTGGCTGAACCACTTTCCTTTTGCTCATGAACGCGAGGACGGCATCGGAGCGGCTATCGCCAAACTTGTAGGCAAGCTGTCTGCGAAAACCACTTGGCCCAACAAGCCCGACAGGACTCTGCGGGCCCAACGGTCGAGGCGAACGGGAATTTTCAATTGGAATAAAGGTGGTAGCCCTGTGCATAGACTGATGTTAATTTTGATTTGGCTGTATCTTTCCCAGCTTGGATCGCATGCCCCGGAGAATGTTGGAGGAGGGAGGTGCATGCTTGGTCTGCAATACGTGGCTCCGCTCAACCCCCCCTGTGGCTCGAAGTTGAAGAATGAGCTTGGCCGTCCCGAACAATCGCCCATTGAATGTACATGGTACTTGCTCCGCCGTCACAAGAAGGTCTGCTTATCAACTTGTAGCAGGTTTTGCCGATCAAAGCAGAGTCTGCCAATCGCCATGAAATCCCATTGCCTGACAGGCCCCGGGTCCACGGTTTGGCTCAACCAGCATTTCGCCATTCTGAATCCTTCGTGGTTCCTTTTCTCCAAATCACTTTGACAGCGAAGACTGTTGCGTACATGCTGAATATTCCATCGGACTTCAGTTTCACGTCTACCCAAGCCAAGACGGGGCGCCCTCAGACAAGTCCCGTCTTCATTCTCAGCACATGTTGCCCCCATAAAGACATGTACAAGGCTGGACATTTCAAGCCGTACACATCGCCAGAATGGAACCTCCTCTCTCGCGAGTCCCGAGGCGATGGACACCAGAGGAAGACTCGATCCTCAGGGCAGAGGCGACGTATCAGTGTAGGTAGAGTATTCGCATCCGAGTTTCGGCGGAAATGTCGAAGCTGAGAGAAGTCCAGTGATCGCTGCTGGTTCAGTGAGAGGTTGGAATAGGATTGCATCCAAACTTCCCGGCAGGATGGAAAAGGACTGCCGCAAAAGATGGAGCAAGATATCGGAGAACGTGAAGAAGGGTAATTGGTATGTGCCCCGGTGTTGTAAATGCCAGCCAACACCTTTGCTGATGTTGGTATTCAGGGACCCAGCTGAAGATGCTAAGCTCCGGGAAGCAGTTCAGGCAATCGGGACACGGTTTGCAAGACCCGATGCCCACCTAGAACGCTGCCTCCGCTGACAGACACTAACAGGTGGACTCAAGTTGCAGAAGCGGTCGGTACTCGACATGCGGATCGTACGTCGTCGTCGGCCCATCATATTGGTCAACTTGAAACTTGAGAAACGAATATCAATGACTGACACTTCGCAGAATGTGCCAAGCGCTGGACTCAATGTCTTGATCCTTCTATTGACCACAGTGACTGGAGAGAAGAGGAAGATAACAGACTGCTAGCAGAGGTCACTGCTTCCGGTCGGAACTGGAAGAAAATCGCAGAGTATTTCCCTGGTCGTACCAAGTTGGCGCTAAAGAATCGGTGTGTTTGTCCACAGCGTCAAATTGTGCCCTTTCTCGGTCTCCCTTCGTTCTTGTGGCTGATTCAGTCCTGCAGATACACTGCTCTCAGACGAAGACAGCACTCTCGACAAACTTCGAATAACACCGAAAGCCCTCGATCGCAGCCACGGCTCCCCACCCAAGCTCTTCGAGCTGTGAGCGATGACTTGATACAGATATCTGACGAAATCCCTTCGAGCGAAGAGGAGGTGTGTTCTTCAATGGACTCGACGAGGCCGCCATCTCGTTCCTCGATTCAGAGCATGAAGCCTCATCATCAGGCTGGGAACTTGAATATGGTCGTGGATTCCTCGTCGGAGATCACAACTTCGGCTCTCCATGCCGACTCTGGCGACCGATTCCAATATATGTCGCCGATGCCGAACCGGAACTTAGGGTTTCACCATTGCCAGAGTGTAAACCATTCAATACCGGAGTCGAACAACTTTTCCCCATTGAACGTGACCACGCTGAGTGAGCCTATGTTGACATCTCGGCCTGAGTACCTTCAGTCTGACAATTCGTACTCTCTGCACGCCTCTAGCCTCCCTAATGAGTGGCTTTTGGGAGGAACAACATCGAACCAAAACATCCATGGCTTTCCGTTCCCTGAATCTTTCGATATTTCACCAACGAATGGCATTGACCGACAATATCCACTTCAACAATCTTCGTCAAGAAAAAAGACGATCGCACTCGAAGATATCGAAGAGACCACCTTAAGCAAGGTCGTGAGCATCCTTATCCAGGAGAAGGCAAAAGTAAGGATAGAGACGACAGTCGATTATAAATGAATCCGGGAGGTCGGCGAATTGAAACTTGGACTGGCAGCCGTCAGAAACGTAACGGACTATTGTAGGCCTCGAGAGATCTGCCCTGCTAGCGATATATGACAATTCATTAATCTGCTGTGATACCAGGAGTCTGACGTAGTGACACATCAACCAGGACTGGATAAGGATGCGTGACATCGAGGACAGGGTTCAATAGACTTGCGCCGGAGCATCTCCAGTTCCACAGACAGAAGCATAAAAGCGGGAATCGTTTAGATGATTGACGACTGACGGTCTGCCTGAGCTCGAAGTCTGACAGCCAGGCAGATAGGTTGTAGTCTGACCGCGTACAATCTCATTTTGTTGAAAAGACTCGAAGCAATCAGTGGAGAAGATGGTTAAAGTTGAAGGGACGCGCAGACTGATGGGCGGCACAGAGCGTTAGTGAGAATGTGTGAGGCCTAGAGAGGACTCGGACCCAACCGGGCTTCGTCTCATGGCTAGGTATTTCTGAGCCAGTCACGGCAGACACCCACAGCAGCAAGAGCAAGGCCGGGTGGATATGTCGCGGCTTCACTGTGTGACAATGGGGGGGACTTCAATCCAGTCAGACTTTCACACGACATTCTGAGACAGAGCTAGTACTTACAACTTCCTCGAAGGGGCGCCGGCCTGAGGACATGATCTTCAGCCAGGGAACCTCTGCCAGATCTGGTACCGGTTTGGAAGAATTCACTTTCTTTAGCGGTGAACACTATTAAGTCTCTCACTGCCAGCAGATATAATTTTCCTCAAAGCGGGAAATGATCTTCTGTACCGAACCAAATCTCGGGTTTGCCTCCGCCGGCGGATCGAACTGCGACCGTCCTTCACTAAGTTGAAAATTGCAACGGTCCATTGGAAGCTTGGGCGCTGGAGCGCAAGAAAATACTCCTGTTCGCTGAGACTGTGTGTGTGAACGACGGAAATCGATGAGGTATTTGTACTTTTGCAAATCCTCCCACAGGACCCCAAAGGAGTGCTTTGCTGACGCCACGTTTGAGGAAAGGTTCGGCCGTATGTGAATTGCGATTGAAATCGCACTTTCCATGAGAGAAGATGCCATTCAGGTAGATAAAGATCTGGTAGCGGTTCGATGGTGCGAGGGGAGGTGCCACTCAGCTCGTTCGACACGAGTCGGGGCTGCAGGAAAGGAACGGGTTGTAGCTCCGCCGGACATGGCCCAATAGGTGAGGAGATGATAGTCATCACGAGAATCTTGGGCGGTTGACCATCCTTTTGGCGTGGAAGGTCGGTACTTATGAGCAGAAGAGACCCAATAAGTGCTGGCGGGTGAGGACCCGAAGTGCTTCTCGAATGCTGGACCTGGCGATCACGTGAAGATTTTGGCCATTACCCCTTCATCTACAGAGTACAAGGCTCGCCATGCAAATGCTTACAGAACAGCATTGAAAGCAAAGACGAACTCAAGAGGAAGACATTCAGTTGGGGCGTGTCTGTTCTATATATTGCTCTCTATTAGGGTTCGCACCAGTTAAGGGCTCTAAGGCGCCTAAAATGCAACGGGTTTGAAAGAGGGAGGCAAAGTAGAACAGCCTTTGCTGACACTGATTGAACGGGTGAGTCGAGAATGCCATGGTGATCAGAGCAGTATGGACCCATGCAGACTCAACTCCCTGGGTCCACGGACAACTGCCCTAAGAAGCCACGAAATGGATGGATACCAACGCGCTGGGCGTCTTGCTGACCAACCAGCATCACAACTCCTAGTCAATGACTAGAGTCGAGCACTCTTTCTCAGCGACCGCTCATCTCTGGAATGCATCCTTGACCTGAGCATCCCGCTTCTTTCTTTGAACACACTTCCCTTGTTGCGCAGTGCGGGGTTCCAGAATCCCGAGGAGGCGAATTTCCATCCACCACGTCTGTTCTCCCTGGACTATGACGGCGCATGGGACGAGAAATGTGGGCTAACGGTGATAAACCCCTGAGGTTATGCAGGATCAAGGCAGGGTACTCGGGCGCTTTGTACCGATGGAGGCCTTGTTCGATGGGTTGCCATAATTTCAGACCAAGTTCCTAATCCGCTGTGTCGGACGAGGGAAATCTCAGCTTCCAATTGACTGCAGGGCTCGCCGATCGTTGCCTGTCGATGATAGCGATTGGAAAATCTGAAAGTTGTGCCGCTTGTTCTTGAATGGCTGTTCCTCCCATAGGTTGAAGAAGGGAGAAACTAGGTCGCCAGAGTTCTCTCGGAGCAATCCACCTCCCTCTGACCGTGACTCGGTTTCCAAAACCTCCGTATCCTTTTGAAACTCACAGTATTCGATCCCTTGATGGCCTGCATCAGTTGGAAATCATGCCTCCATTGACATGGAAGAGCTAGCCTGGTATAAATTCCGCCTCGACGCTGGCAATGAAGTTGATCATGTAGGCGATATCTTTGGCCTGGCCGTACCGCTTGACGCATTTTTTCCCACTGCCTCGTCGAATATAGGCTTCGCATGAGGAGAGCTCCAGGTCGTCTCGGTCACAATAAGGCCTGGAGATACGACATTTGAGGTTACCCCCGGACCTGCCTCCGCAGCAGTGGCCCATGTGAAGGCCACTACGGCGCCCTTGGATGCCGCGTAGACCACTAGGCCAGGTTCCGGGTCTGAAGCGGTCCCAGATGCGGTGTTGACGATTTGTCCACACCCTACTTTCTGCATGTGTGGAAGTGTGGCTCGTGTCTAATAGAAGCAGCTCTCCATATTGACCGCCATCACTTTCTTGTATTCCTGAGTTGATTGCTCCAGCAGAGGGCAAAACGGGTAGATGCCAGCAAGGAGCACAAGGACGTCGATTCTGCCTAGTGAGGAGATAACTTCATTGATCACTGACCTGACTTGCTCTTCTGATGCCGGATTGGCGACTCTGTAGGTACGTTCTTCCCTTCGGATGTGAAGCTTGCCTCAACCTTTCTGAGCCGCTGTTCGTCAAGGTCTACAAGAACCACATTCCCTCCTTGGTCAGCAAAGAGAGTGGCAGTATCATGTCCTATCCCATTCCCTCCCCCAGTTACAAGCACCACTTGGTCGGTATATTTGTCGCCGTAAGTTCCGGTGGGTGGTATAGTTGCTCCCAGTTGTTCCATAGTGGCTAGCAGGACTTTCGACACAGAGAAGCCAATTCCAGCTGCTTTCTTGGTCAGTGAGAAACCCTGGAAGGTCTGTCCTGCCACATGCCCCCCAATAGCGACCTCATGTTGTAAATATGGCGCTGTCGGTGACCGAGGCAGGCAAGTGGCGCTGCCTCACCTGGTGCTTTGGACACTTCTTTCGTCATCTTCTGGATTCGAGTCTCGGCCAGGACATGCCCCCGAATATCGTCGAGGACTGTCTAGACTTTCATTCATCAACTGGGACGGGCGTGGGAACACATCCCGGGGCCTCGGTGAGTTGATTTGTGTTGAAGTGGTTTTGCTCACCGAAAGGATTATTATCCTCCTCACGGAGTAGTGACAAGTTAGGGCCGCCCAGGGCCACCCTCAGCCAAGTCTTAAATAGCATTCTCCCCTGGCAGGCCCCTGAAAGGCTTAAGTAGAAGCATTTGCCGAGCCTCTGCTAATACCAAACTCCCTTCGCTTCTAGCTTGGGCTGGTGCTGCACTTCAGCTGTCACTGTAACCATATTGGCTTTCCTTCCTGCTAGATGATCTGCCAACAAGCCTTTCATGTCCCTCCAGGATAAATTGCAGGGATCAATCATGATTCCCTTCATCACACCAATCCTTCCCACACCGCGCACGGTCGCCACGAAACCTCCCAAACCATGTCGCGACAGGAGATTATCCGGACAGTGCTCGATTTGTCGTCCCAATATTAGTCCCCAGCACTTTACGAGGTTCAGAGAAGAGAGTCTGAGGATCTGATTGAGAGAAAAGCTTGAACCTATAATGAACTTTACATAATTACAGAAGAAGATTGTTCAGACGCGAGGTTACGTTGTCCATTCACATCACAGCAGGACCAGTTCTCGCCCACAAAATATATTTTTCCTTCTCAACGAAGACTGTCGATGAAGATCTATGTCGACCATCGTGTGAATAGTTGCAGCTTGTATGCTCAGTACTCTGCGTAACAGGGCGGAACTACCCTCCAAAGAGATCGATTGCAACACATCAAAGTTTAGGTGCTCGAGGTTGGCTTCATGAATGAGAATGGCATATACTAGGACTTCTAGAGCCCTACGGTGCTTCCGCTATCCTATGCCTCCAGACTGACACTTGACCGGGAAGGGAGGATATGGAGTAAGTCAACAATCTGCGTCTTACCGGCGCCGCTGACTTGGCTGCTTCAACTATATGGGACTCTCGCCATGCTCGATCACAATCGAGTCAAGCTGGTGAGCCAAAGTTGTCTCCTCGAATAGCTCGAGGTCGACTGGGGCGGTCTGCGGCTGATAGGCACAATCGCAATAGCTTCTACCAGCCAATCCGCACGTCTACTTTGTCGAGACCTGGATAGCAAACATGCGTTGCGGTCTATCACCATCACTTCACGCCGGTTGACAACTGGAACCCATGACAAGACAAGGCTGAACACCCCTTGCCGTGCCCCACATCCAAACCATCTTTGTCTCCTTGCCCCTAGCAGACTCCCCAATGGGAAGGATTGATCTGGCTCCAAGGATCCACACTACCTACATCGAGGAGAAAACTCAAAATTCGCGAGCAAGACCCCTGCATGTCATGACCAGCTGGGTCTGCATGATGTCTTTAGACCAAGGAGTCTGCTCCGTGGGCACAGGTAGTCGCAGGGTACCTTACTTGGTCTCTCCATGCGAGTCATGACAAGAACAACAGGGTGCGTCGAGGATTAGATCTCCCGCAGTGTCAAGTCCAGCCGTGGATTTTCGGCTTCTCTTACCCGTTAAAGCGTGGACATGAGACATCCGCCTCGCTATCCATTCGCATACTCCCTCATTCGCAGCAGGCTCCATACGAAGCTCAACGATCTCTCCAACACGAAAAATTGACGCTTTCACTACCTCCCACCCCCAAGACATGACCAATACAGCTCAGAAAATAACAGCATATGCCTAACAGCTTAGGGCGCCCAATCTGGCTTTATCACATTTTACCGAGAGTATTCACTCCAGAGGCGGACACGCAGGCAGGTAAGCAGACAGACAAGTAGACAGACAGAATAAGGGACGAAAGGAGGGGCAGGCGAAGTTTATCCCTCTCCCAACGCTCCAAGCAGGAGCCCGTGCAACCCCAGCTTATCTAGGTAGCTAGTTTGCCACCGAGCTAGCGAGTTCGTCCCGTCACCTCGTACCTAGTGTCAGGAACCGCCGAGATGCTCCCGGACGATTAGCCATGTACTGGCGTTCAAACAGGATCAACATGCGGAAAAGTGTTTCCGAACTAAACTTGTGTACGAGTTATACGGATCACCGAGGAAGAGAAGGAGGGGGACAGGAATCTACATATGTACCGAATATGCATCTCCCTTCAGAGTGTGAGTCCAGCGGCTCTGATATTGCCTGCCAAAGTAGTAACATTTACCAGCTTCCTAGAACTATATACCCCCTCCTCTCTCACACACACGCTCAGACTTACTTGGACTCAACCCCTCCTCCACTCCAAGGATTTCTCTTTGCCAGTCGAGCTGACATATGCGGGATCAGGACGAGACGAGACGAGACAAGTCAGGATGGGACCACCAACCGCATTGGCATTGGCATTGATATTAGTGTCGGCGTCTTGAATAGATTCTTGTGCCCATCTCTATAATTGCCAGTTCATGGTGCATTGTTCTTCATTCCACATTACATATATCTTGGAATATGGTACCAGGAGATATGATAGGTGCTTGCTTTTTTTTTTTTAATCACAAAAAAAGCCTCGCGCCGCCACGCCACGAAGACAACATTTGATGCTTCAATGACAAGATCGTTGCACTTCACATCTTGAAGCCCACCTCCTTTTTCCCAAAATCTGCCCACACTGAATCGATCATCATGGTCTTGGACACATCGAGTCAGTCAGCTATTCATTCATTTCAACTCTCGCTTTAAACCTCCCATGCCCTGGGCCGGGGGGACGATTCAATTCAATTCGATGCCAGTCTCATCCAAAGCTTCTTCTTTGCATCCTACAACCTACAACTGCTCATTCACAAACAGCCCAGCCATGCCCTGACCCGTGCCGATACACATGCTGGTGACGAGGATCTTCTTCTTCGTCCTCCTGGCCTCGCTCAAAATGGTGCAAATCTGTCTCGCTCCGGTCGCTCCCAGGGGGTGACCCAAGGCAATCGCGCCTCCCCTAGGGTTCATCTTCTCGTGCTCGAGTCCGAGGGTGTTCAGACAATACACGGCCATTGAGGCAAAGGCCTCGTTGATTTCGAAGATGTCAATGTCGTCCTTTGTCAGGTGGAATTTGCCGAGAAGCTTGGGGATGGCGGCGGTGGGGCCAATGCCCATGATCCGCGGCGGGACACCGGCGACGGTGGCGCCGCAGAATTTGGCCATGATGGGCTGGCCCAGTTCGAGGGCTTTGGAGCGTTTCATAAGGAGGATGGCAGCAGCTTCACACCAAGAATGTTAGTATCCGGGCCTGATGGTCCACGTTGTTGAGTGGGGAGGACGACAGGAAATGGGAAGATATGCTTACCTCCATCAGTGACCTGACTGGCATTGCCGCCAGTTGTCTTGTCGCCAAATTGCGGCATAGCGGGACGAATCTTCAACAGACTTTCCAGCGTGGTCCCATACCTGGGGCCCTCGTCCTTGGTCAGGGTGACCTCGTGGACCTCGCCCGTCTTGGGGTCCTTGACTTTGGTGGTGATGGGCACGATTTCATCTTCAAACCAGCCGGCCTTCTGCGCGACCTCGGCCCTCCGGAAACTCTCGCAGGCATACTCATCCTGCATTCTGCGGGTGATGTTGAAGTCGTTGCCGACATTTTCGGACGTTTGGATCATGGGTTGTGTGCAGTCTGCGGATTCTTGGTTCGCCATGATCTCCGGGGAGAAAGGGGTATCCTTGCCGCTGTTGTTGGTCATGGACTCGCCGCCCATGGCGATGCCGATGTCGATGGAACCATTGGAGATCTGGTTGGCGATGTCTTGCACGGCCTTGAGGCCCGAGGAGCAGAACCGGTTGACGCTTGACGCAGCGGCGGTGTGGGGGAAGCCTGCAGCCAGCATGGCGGCGCGGACCTTGTATGCGGCGCGCGGGTCACCGACCTATCCAGTCCACCGACAAGGCATGTCAGTCTCGCGTTCTTCACAGCCTCGCTGGAGGGGAGGATGTCGTCTGATCATATCTTACATTTCCCAAGCAAATATCCTCAACGAGGGCAGGATCGATTTTACTCTTCGCAATGACCTCCTTCAGCAGGGCCCAGACCATGTAGTCGAGATCGGTGTCCTTGAAACCGCCCTTCTTGCCCTTTGCGAGGGGCGTTCGAATGGCGAGGGTAATGACAATGTCATCGGGGTTCTTTTGGGTGCTACAGGCCGGCAAAAGGCCAATTGTCAGCATCTACCGAGCACCGTGACTTGTTGAAGTACAGAGTGGGAGCCACAGCATATCTAGCTGCGGACTGGATTGAAGCTAGACTTACATGGCAGCCACCCCGGTCTTGGAGGACGAGAGGTGGGAGAAGATGGAGCCGAGTCGCTGTGTAGCCATGGTGCCTGTTTTGTCCGATTGAAGGTGTCCCGCCTATTGCTACAGAAGAATTTTGGAACGACAACCAAAAGTGAGCACAAAACAACCTGAGGGGGGGAAGAAGCAGTCGAGAGGGGATGGGATGAGGTGAAGAGAGGACGCAGCAGCAGGAGCAGAGGAGCAGCAGTGGAAAAGGTGAACTTATTGATGCTCGCCGTGGTGCCGCCACCAGATTATCGCCGCTTCGCTGCAGACTTACCTCGGCATTTGGCTCATTTTGTAGGGGAGGTCTTAAGGCCTAGATAATATGTCTGTAGGCTAGTGATGCATCCGTCCATTGGATATCGGGCCCCAGCTGTTCGGGGCTCCGTCATCGCCGCTTTATTTTCTTCAACGCCTCGTTCCGGTGGAATGTATGGAGTATGTTTTCTGATCACAAATCTCTTTACTGCTACCACTGAGACCACCACGACAA